TTTTCTCTAATCGTGCCTTCTCATTTTATTTCATTGAGTTGATCTTCAATCTCTGATATCCTTTCTTCTGCTTGATCAATTCAGCTATTGAAATTTTTGTATGCTTTGCAAATTTCTTGTGCTGTGTTTTCCAGCTCAATCAAGTTGTTATGTTCTTCTCTAACCTGGTTATTCTAGTTAGCATTTCGTCTAACCTTTTTTCAAGGTTCTTAGTTACCTTGCATTGGGTTAGAACATGTTCATTTGACTTAGAGAAGTTTGTTATTACCAGTCTTCTAAAGTCTACTTCTGTCAATTTGTCAAACTCATTCTCTTCATCCAGTTTTGTTCCCTTGCTGGCAAGGAGTAGTGATTCCTTGGAGGAGGAGAGACTTTCTTGTTTTTGGTGATTTCATCCTTTTTCACTGTTTTTTTCCCATCTTTATGGATTTAGTCTACCTTTGGTCTTTGTAGTTGGTGACTTTCAGATGGAGTCTCTGAATGAATGTCTTCAAGCTATTTCTTTCTGTTTTTTAGTTTTCCATCTGACAGTCAGGCCTCCCTGCTGCAGGACTGCTGGAAGTCCACTCCAGACCTGGCTTGCCTGGGAATCACCCGCAGGGGCTGCAGAACAGTAAGGGTTTCTGACTGTTTCTTCTTCTGGTATCTTCATCCCAGAAGGGTACCTGCCAGATGTCAGTAAGAGCTCTCCTTTATGAGGTGTCTCTTTGGATATACGAAGGTTAGGGAACCGCTTAAGGAGGCAGTCTGTCCCTTATCAGAGCTCAAATGCTGTGCTGGGAGCTCTGTTGGTCAGGGCTGCTGGGCAGGGATGTTTAAGTCTGCTGCAGCAGAGCTCACAACTGTCTCTTTTCCCAGGTGCTCTGTCCTGGGAAGGTGGGGCGTTATTTATAAGCCCCTGATGTGCTGCTGCCTTTTTCAGAGATGCCGTGCCCAGCAAGGAGGGAGTCTAGTCACAGTTTGCCTGCAGAGGCATTGCTGATCTGCCACGGGCTCTGTTCAGCTGCTGTGTAAACGTCCTTGAGGTTTTGTTTACACAGGTAAGGTTAGAAGTGCCTCAGTAATAGCAGACTGTCTCGGTAACGGTGGACTGTCTCAGTAATGGCGGACTGCCTTAGTAAGGGCAGACTTCCTCGGTAACAGCGGACTGCCTCGCTAATGGCAGGCTGTCTCAGTAATGGCAGATGCCTTTCTCTCCATAGAGCTTGACCATTCCTGGTCACGCTCAAACTGCTGCACTGGCTGAAAAACTCTCAAGCCAGCGCATTTCAGATTGCTGGTCTTTGTGGGAGTGGGACCTGCCAAGACAGAACACCTGGCTCCCTGCCCTCAGCCTCCTCTTTTTTAGGGGAATGTGTGGCTCTGTCTCACAGGTGTACCAGGCACCAGTTAAAATGGCCACGCAGATTTGTGTGGGTTTTTGTGCTGGAAACTCATGATGCTTGTCAGCCGGTGGGAATCTCCTGGTCTGTGGGCTGTAAAGACCACTGGAGAAGTGTAGTATCTGAACTGTAGTGCCAGAGTGGCTGGAAAAGTTCCCCGATGGCCTCTGTTCAGTAACAGGGGGTGTCTTCTGGTCCGCTGCACTTACCTCGGTTGGAAATGCAGCAGTCACTCACCGTCTGTGTCGCTCTTGCTGGGAACTGCACTCCAGAGCTGCTCCTATTCAGCCACCTTGGAGGGGCTCTCCTCCATTCTATCTTTCTTATAGTTGGAGGGACTAGAAAGCTTAAAAGTAAATGTTTAGATTCCCTTATATCTAAGATTCTTGGTGCAAATTAGATTATGCCAATTGAATACACCTATGCATCATTTGGGATAAAAAAATTAAGGTGAAGAAATTGTCCTGTTTCTTTTTCATTTTTCCTTGTCGGCATGCAGTGCCATGGAAATGGGAGCTGGTACCAGCAATGATCGGCAGTGATCCAGGATTTGTAAGCTGTCTAGGTGCTAAGAAATGATTGCTTACTTAATCAATTTCTTCTGACTTTCTAATCGTTGGATCACAGCTGTGGGTCCATTCTCCACTTTCCTGGGTGATGAGAGGATGTTGTCTGCTTTAGCTGCTTTATTACAGATTTACTTTATTATAGATCATTGGGATGTATGCCTGAACTCAGAGCACCCCTTATGACGTGACAGATTTTAGAACCCTGAAATAAATTATGAACTCTTCTAGATGTCTTTCCTGGAGGTCCATCTTAGAATCCACTTCTTTCCCTCTAATAATTTATAAGCATCAAATTTCATGCACTCAATCCCTAATTAAAAGACATGGAATATTTTTGTTTCTTACACTAAATACTGCCCGATGCAATGTATGACATGTATGCACTTTTTCAGTGTCTTAAACTGTTCTCCATGTAGTTCTTCTGCCTGTGTCTGTGCTGGCTGTTTCAACTAAGCCCTCATAGGTAAAGGCATCAAGTATGACTTCCTAAAAGTCAGCTCACATTTTCCCTCAAAATAATTTGGCTTCCTCCAAAACTTCTACTACCAATGTTCTGTCACTCTCCAAGATATTCTAGGAATGTGTTGGCCAAAGGTCTTTCTCCCCTAAATCTTTTTAATTTCAGCTTAGTTTCTCATGCTATTTGCTATATATTCCTACATATACTTCTTTATCTCAACCCTAATACCACTTTTATGTTCAAGATATTTAATGATACATATTTTCTGTAACTTTGATGAAGCTGTATCTTTCCTTTTTCGTCTTGGGTATATATAAATTTTATAGTAAAGTCCTCTACTTTGGGTTTCTGGAATGAAAGTAATAATAACAACAAAGTAGTTTTTCAATCTGATCTCTAATTTCTTTGTGGGGGAGATTAACCAATCAAAAAGGTGAATCAGTGATTCTGAAGTAGATTCAGGATAAACATCTTTCTTTGAAAAACAAAAAAGCCTACATTTCTTTTCTCTTCTCCACTTGGAATGTCATCAGGAATTTTTCTTCATCCTTTTCCTACTCTTCTACTCCTGAAAAAACTCAGAGAGATAGAGCCTGTCAACACTGTAAGCTAAGACTCCCATGACAGACCACAGGACGGAAAAGCCCCTCCTACCTCAGGCCACCATGCCATGCGTAGAGTTCCAAGACTAGCATGCTACCTCCACAGCAGAGTAAGAACAACATCTCCAAGGAGGAATGGGGGAGCACAAATATGTTATGGCTGTCCCAAACCTTTGTAATTGACACCTGTTTTTTTTTTTCTCGTGGGGAAGGATAGCCCTTTCTTTGGGGAACTGCCTCTCACACACTCCATGCTACTTGTTACAGGTATCACTGACAATATGCCACCATATTATAACTACAAGGTGGTCTTTAATTCAAATTAGGGCAGTCACTCTCTCTCCCTCCAAGTTGGTTAAAACTGAATGGAGATCCACAGGGACTGAAGACACTGGAAATAGGCATCCATTGTGAGTGCTTGCCAAGCTCTCCTGTGCGTCTTTTCTTCCTTTTCATCCTCAGACCCAGTTGTTTTGTAAGTGTTTGTTAGCCTCTTTTGTTCAAGTTTTTGAGCATGAATTTTATTTCTTTAAATCAGAGGACCATAACCAATATTTCCCTCCTCTACCCCTTTGCTCCCTGCCTGCCTCCATTTCCGCTCTGAGTCCCACAGACTCTTGACAGGCAGGAAAATTCAGCTGGATAATGCTGGGTAAAGACTCCTATCATTTATTCATTCAACAAACATAGATTGAGATTTTACTACTGCACTTAGCAGCTTCTATCCTAGAATGAGATACTACAATACCAATTTAAATTTAGGGAAAGAATTTTCAAGAAGTAACATGTGAATGTGAATTCTCTTGGAAAGAGCGTAGGCATTTTATCAGATAGAAAAAAGCAGGGAGTGTACTCCAAGCAAAGAAAGGAACTTTGGCAAAAGCAAGAAGTTGTCTTGCCTTTAGGAACTGCTAGACATGTTAAACTAGAACCCAGATACAAATTGAAAAGTGATGGAAAATTGGACTGCAATGGTTAAAGATGGTTGATTAGGAAAGCCAGATTATTCTCTCAGAATGCTAAACAGAGATAAGAACAGATATTGCCAGATATCCCTGCCTCGATATTCTTTTTCTTTTTATGCATTAACATTTGCAATTTTAAATTGGACACATAAATACAAGAATAAGGAATACATTTCCTAGGGTCTCTCAATAGCTAGCTGTAGCCACGTGACCACATTCTGGCCACTAAGTTGTGAGCAAAATTACTACATGCAAGTTGGGGCCATACCCTTAAAGGGAAGGTGCTCGCCCTCTCCTTGCCTTCTTCCCCTTCCACTGGAAATGGAAACACAGTGATGGTGAGGCAGTTTGGATCATGTCGATGAGAGCAGAGCCTTGAGGTTGGGACCAACTAGATTGAAAATTCCTGCATCCCCAGTTCCACGTTCCACATGTATCTTACTCTTGGACAGTTACACAAAAATAAATACCAACTTTTATCTAGTATATCTTCCCCAAACCTTTGTAGTAACAAATATCTGTTGTTTTTTTCTTGTGTGCAATTGTATCTCCTTCTTTGGGCAACTGCCTCTCACCTACTTCATGCTACCTTGTTAGAGGTATCACTGACAATGTGCCACCATATCCTACCTACAAGGTGATCTTCAATTCAAATTAGGCTAGTCACTCTCTCTCTCCAAGGTGTTTAAAACTGAATGGAGACCCACAGGGATAGAAGACATTGGAACAGGGCATCCATTGTGAGTGCCATCTAGTTTAAGCCAATGATAGTGGCCACCTGTCACAGCAGGTGAATCAGTATCCTAGGTGTGTCAAGAGAAAGTCACAGTCACATTTAAGACTATGTGGCCCATAAGTCAAAGTTGGCCCATCTCTTCTTTCTGTATAGCCATGAGCAAGATGATTTTTACTTCTTTAAATGGCTGGAAGAAATGAAAAGAAGAATATTTTATGACCTGCGAATGGTATATAAAATTCAGTACCCATAAAAAGGTTTTATTGGAACACAGCCATGTTCGTTCATCTATGTATTGTCTATAGCTACATGTACAATACAACAGCTAGTTGGATAGTTACAACATAGATCATATGGCTCACAAGTCTACAATATTTAACATCCAGCCCTTTACAGGAAGAGTTTTTCCAATCCCTACTTTAGATGATTGCTTCAATGGATGTAGCAAATTTACTAAGGATGAATAGACTAAAATCAAGTAAGAGCCCATCAGAGGGCTACCCAGCAATATTAGGTTAACAGAAAAGTAATTGTGGTTTTTGCAATTATTTCATACTTTTAATTGCA